GAGAGAGAAAGAGAGTGAGACAGACGCAGGACTGAACCCTGAACTGTCTTCACCTCGTTTCCTGGTCGACCGACAGCTCATCGCCACGGCAGCCAGGGAGGACGTCACCATGGCAACATCCTCCAAGGAGCCCTGAGCCGGTGGAGGTAAAGAGGGTTAGTCTGCAAGCTGAGGAAGGAAGGAAGGAAGGAGAGAGGGAGGGAGGGAGGGAGGAGGGAGGACAGCTGCTTTCCTCATGAACACCTGTCTATCCAGGAAGTAGACACGTCCCACAGGACTGCAAAGGCTGCTGGGAGCGAACAGCAACGGGACAGAAAGACAAATACAAGAGAGACTCAAAATAAAATACAGACAGACAGGCAGGCAGGCAGACAGGCAGACTGCTAAAAGCATTACTCCTGTTTTATGTCCTCTCTCTCTCTTTTTATTGTTGCAGTTTGTTTTATACTTACTGTACGATGTGGATTTGTTCTGATTACATAACTTATAATCAAAACAACCCATCGATAATTTTGCAGCTAATGTTTCCAACAGCAGGAAGGTTTGGGAAAGGATCCTGTAAGTCAGTGAGGAACTTTCTCTCTCTTATTTTGAAGTAAAATGTGGCTTTAAAGTTCATTTTATGAGACAAACGTTGTGTCTGAATTCCTCCTGTATAGATTTATAGTACAAACATTAATTAAACCAACTCACTGTTGAAGCAACTTAAATGTGTTCAATATAATAATAATATAATCGATATATTCCAGTTTGTACACTTTCAAGTAGACATTATATCATTATATAAATATAAGCATTATAATGCTGTGTAGCTTAGCATGTATTTGTGTTTATATTTTAGTTTATTAATCATCATAAGCCCGTATGCATCCAAATCGCTCTTAATGATCACCAAAGTGTAAAGGTTTGATGTTTGTCACATAAAAAAACACAGAAAATGAATTGGCTGCCATTTTGATAATCAATGAATTATTATTTTTATTGTATGTCAGCTGTTTGACAGGTGATGCAATAATTTGCTTTAGTGGAAGAAGAGTAACATTTGTATAAAGAAGATTCATTTAAGTGAATTATTCAGATAAATTCTGTGAACACATTTTGGAGAAACGCTGCAGATGAGAGTAACTTCATTTAACCTCATTTAACCAAACTATCATAACGATAAATATTTTATTTACTTCTACTGAAATCAAATATCTTTATGCTGAAATGATTTGAGTTAATAAACTTTAATGGTTTAAGTTTATCGGTTTCCAATTATTATTTTATTATAATTATTATAATTATTATTATTGTTCACTGAAATCATTTTTCTGTAAGTTGTGCTGATGTTTCTCTCTTTATGGATAACTATAGACGTTATTGTCCTCTTTTCTCCTTTTTTTCTTCCTATTAATGAAAATAAACTAAAGCTAAACAAAATGTTTGTCATTTACAAAAAGATTTTTTATAATTGAATTAAGTCAGCAGACATTAATTTTGGGACCAGACGGAGGAGGAAACAAATAAAACTGGAGAGAAAAAGGAGATAATGGAAGAGGACACACACACACTCCATCAATTATTACTGGCTGCTATGAGACCATCTGCAGACCATGAGCCAATCATAAAACTCCCTGAACTGTCAACCAATCCCAGAGCTCCCACACTGTCAGCCAATTAGAGAGCAGAAATCATAGTAACCGGGGGGCAAACACCTCTTCTCCTCCTCCTCCTCCTCCTCCTCTTTACTCCTTGAGTTTGAAAACCACATTTATTGATCACTTCAATATCGTCGACTTGACAGTTTGAATCAGAATTCAATATAAAGACTGTAAAGTTCCTCCTTCCCTCTTTAATGTTCAGCTCCAGACACCGAAGAGCTCAGTGAAAGAAAGAAATATATCCATTCATAAAGAAAACATAAAAACTCATAAAACAACAAACAACAGCCAGTGGTGGTCAGTACAAATGCTAGCAGATTAGCTTGCAGCTAGCTGAAGTAGCTCTGGTGGTCACGTGACCGGGGCAATTTCCAGAGTCAGGGGCCTGAAATCTGATTGGCCACCACATTATCCCTACCTCTTCCTTTTCCACTGTGTTTCAGAGGTTGTAGAAGGCTTCATTGTAAAGCTAGAGTAAAGATCCTGGTGTCATATGAAACTAGGTGACCTAACACATTCATTGGTAACATGTTGCTAAATAACACTTAAAAGTTAGGCTGGAATAACTTGGGCATTTTCAAAGGGATCCCTTGACCTCAAGATATCTAAATGAACAGGGAACATACAACTTTATGCTAATCCCATGCAGTTTTGGGCAAAGAAAGAAAATCAAATTTATTAAAAACATGAAAACCAAAGAGCCCAAAGTAAAGTCAATAGCCATTTTGCACTACTTACATACAGCAGCATGTAAAAACAGCACATTTAATCAATGTGGTCTCTACACCGCAAGCAACAGACACTCACTCTCTCTTTCTCACTGCCTCCTCCTTTCTTCTCTCTAAATTGAATTACTGTGACTCCCACCTTCGGTCACATGAAGGAAGGAAGATGGTTTCATGAGTTTGTGATTATAGCTTCCCTCCAAATCTCTCTATGTCCACTCCTTTGAGCCACAGTCTGCATTGCAGCAGCCTCTTAGCTGGGTTGTGTAGTGCCATCAACAGAACTGAGAAACTATTGGATAAACATGAAAGTAATCCTTTATTCCAGGCATGTGCAAGCAGACAGTAAGTGGTGGTGAGTGACTGAATACACAGGAATGAATGGACAGAGCATCAGTAGAAACTCATCTCTGGTCTTCATACACATAAGTAGATTTTTATTTAACAAGTTTGAGATACTTTTATGGTGAAAACTTCATTCATTAAGGCACATTTATAAACTATAATATTTATATATTGTTACGTACAGCACACCAGAACATATCCAAATACAATGATATTTTAAGTGATCCAAATGTACAGTTTGCACAGCAACAAAACAACATAACCATATAAATGTTGGCAGCAAAAGTACCAGTGTGATATTACTGTTTAAAGGTGATATACAACATTGAGAACCACTAGATGGAGCACTAGAGCACCACCGTCTCAGACCAACAGAAATTAGCCTGAACACACAACAAAAATAAACAACAATAAAGTTACTGTACTCTTTTGTGAATAATGTCAAGTGATGTGTTAAGTATACTAAGGAAGCAAGAGGATGTATGGCTGTTACTTTGTTGGTTGGAATATATTTTTACAGTATAGAGTTATTTTAACATAATCAGCATGATAAGGAGCTATTTCTTTGATCTGCCAAGTGACCTAAATCCATATAGGTAATTATTAGCTTTTTAGCTATCCTCTAAAATGTGGTTTTGGTAGCTAAAGTTTGATTGAAGTGCTACATATGCTTATATTCAGTTCAAAGTCAGCACCAATAATCTGGAGGAATCTTAAATCATTACTCTATTTTGTTATGTTTAAATCAACAGTAAACTGTTTGTAGGATTCAAACTGTGCCTTTTCACACATCTTCAAATGAGCTGCAGCATTACCAGCCGATATCAAAGGAAGAGCTCTATTTGGTCATTTTCTAACTATATACATTTTAAAGCAGGCTGTTGAAGGTTTCAGATGATGATGTTTTTAAGATTTTTAGGACAGAAACATGCAGTTTTTTAAGCAGTTTGGCAAAATGTCAGGTTTATCCTGCCAGCGGGATTGTGGACCCCAGAGTTAATCATAAATATGGCTCAAAACCTTCTCAAGCATTAAATCCTCAGGTAACTAACAACAGGAGAATTCTTTAAAATATTTAAGTTTCATTTTTTTTGCATCAGGCAGAGAGTGCTTGTCCCTTTTCCAGCAGGTGCTTCACTCCAGCTGAGTGAAGAGTGGTAAAAAGGTCAGAGTTTTGGAAGTGAGTTATCAAATGTTGAAAAGTTCCTCCCTGGTGAATGTAATCAGAAATGGAGATCCTAAAACTGGACAGATAAACAAAAAAGGAAAAGTACCAGAGAGCGCAACAATGAGGCTGCCATCCGCAGTGCCATCTTGGTTCAGCAGTTACAGTTCAGTAGAGCATGAATAACAAACAGCATCCATCAGTTGACAGTTTTTAACATATGAAAACAGTAACAAGCAAAATTAAAAGAAAGACGTAAAAAACAAAAGAAAACAAAGAAAGAAATATATATATATAATAAAATAAAGAAAACAATCACTCCAACCAACCTTTAAAGGCCTTTTTACCAATAAATTCTGACCATGCTACAATAGCTGTTAAAGCTAACTGTGCTCCACTCAGAACCTTTCCCAAAGTAAATCAGTGGCTATCCAAATTTACAGAATTGTATTTCTGGCTGCAGTAAAAGCACTAAATATTCATGTCTGTTTGTGCAAGCTATAATAGAAGTGAATAGGAGTATTCATATAACAGAAACGCTGTTAAATAAAAGCCCTATGGCAAAATAAGACTGCACTTTTATTCAAGATAGCTTCATCTGGGACGAACAAATCAGTTGAACTGACATCTAGTGCCATCAGCAGGTCACCTATCATAGCTGTCTACTATCTATATTAATACCATGTGTAAACAGAGCCAGGCTGTTACTGAAAGAGTTTACTTCATCACCAGACTGTGACCCTTCTCAAGCAGACTACAGTCAAGTAAGGTCAGTGTCTCCCTCTAGTGGAGCAAGAGTAATCATTTTTATTGCCACACTCATCCCAGGACTTGGTCCTAGGTTTAATTTCTGGTGAAATCTTTATTTTAAGTTCAAAACACTTATATTGTTATCATTTATTCTGTTATCAGGGTACTTCTGATTGTATTTAGCAGTTGTCTTAATAAAAGCAGAAATCAAAACTTTAGAAATGAACAATATTTTCATATTCATAGATATCATTAGCAATATTTAATAAGGTAGAAGGAGTAGATGACTTTTTAAGGATTTTAATGTAGAATTTCTTCTTTTTTTTGTGAAAAAAAAAACAATATCAGACACACATTATTTTTCCAAGCTGATTATTTGTACATGTGCATTAATACATGTCTGGGGGGATCTTTGAATATTTGTGTATATGTATGTGTATGTACCATGAAGGGGCTATAACTTTAATTACATTGTGCAACCTGATTTATTGAGAAATATGCAAATAAGCCAAGGAGCTTTTACATTGATATTGTCAAAATCTGTAACTGTAAATAAAACAAGATAAATGTGCAAATCTATAATCTATGTTGACTGTTTATTTAATAGAGTAAACTGTTAAATTCAAGTTAATACATTTCTAAAATATGTGTTTTACATGGATTTGTTTGTTAACTGACAGATATCTTGAAACACTTCCCTCTGGTAGGAGGCCGCGGTCCATCAGGACCAAAGCCTCACGCCAAAAAAACAGTTTCTTTCCGTCTGCAGCTGGCCTCATTAACAAGGCCCGGTACCCCCACTGACACTGACTCTTAAACCCACCCTGTATATGCCCTACAATAATTAAAGATGCTTCAATTAATTAAAAACGCTGCAGGACCTAGGAAAAGAGATCACATCTCTCCTGTTCTAGCTTCTCTGCATTGGCTCCCTGTTAAATTTAGAATAGAATTTAAAATTCTCCTCCTTCCTCCTCACCTATAAGCCTCTTCATCGCGTCAGGGCCCCGTCATATCTCAAAGGAGGCTCATCAGTACCCTATTTACCCTCGTTTTCGCTGTAATAAGGTGCTCAACTAACTGGCCCTATGTATATGTACACGGATCTTAAGTGGTTTGGTGTGTGTGTTTCTTGACACTTATTTTGACTGGTGATACAGGCAGGCACACCGAAACTAACAAATTACCAAGACGTGAAGATGTAAAACTTAGAATAGACAACAATCTGGGCGTTTCATACTGGCACACTTGCTCTCTATGTGTGCTGAATTGGTAAGGGAATCTTCAGTACCTAAGTATTTCTGGGAGCAGATAAGTGAAAAGTGTTTCGTGAGAGTAAATATACAAAAATAAAGAGATAATTGAATTGGAAAACATACAAGCAATATGTTGTGGAACTAAAGCAAGGTAGTGCTAAAATTGATGTTTGGTTTTATAGTTGCTTACTCAATACAGGGTAGATTTAAATCAATTTTAAGGGCGCTCCTCTCTCTCTCTTGTGTATTGTCTTCGCTGCACCAGTTCACTATCAGTATAGAGACCAATAACTGTTGGCAGGCATATAACATAGCTCACTTGTCTCATTCATCTTCACCCACATTCCCTCAACAGTAAAAACAGAGTGGTAGACCTCGGGAAAAAACTAAAGAGCAATGGTTTAGGCGTCTAGCGAGTATCTACCTTGCTCTAAGGAGCTTTGTGTGGACAGAAACATCAATCGCCTAACGCCACTATTTGTTGAAGGTAGTGGAGAGGACCGTATTGTTGATGTCTTCACCTCGCTGGTGCATCAGAATTATCAGGTCCGGGGCGCATCACGACACGTTGCCTTCAGGGAAATAGCCAGAGCTCACACCTGGAAAAGCTTTCACCTTGTCCTTGCATACTCCGGAATTCCATTGTACAGAGTAGACAAGTAGGTGTCTTTCCAGTATAGCCCTAGTGGTACAAAATATCAAATTCCTGGCTGTCTGGTGGGCACAGTCGCTATCCTTGCCTCAGCACCCAGCTATTTGCGTTTAGACAATCGATGAATTCTTGATAAGATCGGACCTGTTGATTAAATATACAAAATCATCAGGTAAAATTGTATGTTATATTGATGTAACACAAAAGTATTCTAGTTTCTTTCACATTTTGTTACAATTTCTTTCTTGTATAGTTCGTTTTCATCTGCTCTATCTGAACAAAACTTGAAGGTGCTAGTGGATCTCGGCTAGTTGTGTGTGTGGTTGCCTGTCCAATCACTTTTGCTTAGTTCTCCACGCACTATAACTAGTCCACTTTTGTGAATTTCCACACACGGGCAGCGGATCAAACCACTAGAACTCTCAGAGACAGTACTCAAAACCGGATCTCAGTCAAAGGATACTAATTTGTCCGCAAGACCACGATTATTCATAAACTAATATAATAGCAAAACAAAAACCCTCAAACTATCAAATGATAGCTACAATATTTCTAACAAACAGAATAAACACTGAAATGTAATAAAGTATAAAGCTGTGAGTATGTATGTAACGAAGTAAATTTTCGCATATATCTGCTATTTCGCACACAATGCGATTCACAAGCGTGTGGAGGCCCTCCTGGTGTGTCTCTACTATCAATCTGTGGACGGATACTCCTCTGGCATATTTTTATAGGAAAGAGGAACTTGGGGAGAGAATCCTCTAGAGATTCCTTGAACTGAGAAATACACATCCCAATCCTATGCTATCAGGTTTTTACTCTCTTAACAAAACACAATAATAGTCATCCATGATGAGAGAATTTAGTGGTATAATGATCTTGGGGTTAGCAAAGTGGACAAATTACTTCAAGGTCTACGATAACGTAAACTATGAGGACGCTCGCGAAAGAAATGATAATTGCCTAGTACTGAAAAATGGAGAGAACTTTCTCATTGCAGCGAAAACCCCCTGATCACATTCATACCTCTTGGAAAACAGTTTGCAAATTTTCCAATTCAGATATTATTGTACAATTTAACCAAAATTATTTTCTTAAATCTAAATGGGTTCTTCTTGGAAAAAAATACAAAACTTAATGAAGTGACATCAATAGGGAGCGGTCCAAAGAATTCTTTTACAATAAAGGAGGAGAATCTCCTCAGGTAAAGAACTTTGTAGAATGACAGGGTCTCTTATTTCCCAAATCTGAAGTCGGCTTGACCAGCCTGGCTTCACACCTCCCTGTCCTTAGCCATGTGGGCCACTCCCATATAAAGAAAAACCTCTTAGGACTCCCCTTTATTTCACTTAATGAAATTAATCAACTATCTAAATTACACATGTCTTACAAGCGACATAAAACACCTCGATGACTGCAAATTTTCTGATGTTAAAACAACAGACAAAACTGAAGTTTTGTACTTGGCTTTGTACCCCAAGTGAACTACTCAGAGACTTTCTAGGGGTTCGAAAAAAA